TTATAGTTTCATGTCTTATATGGATGGAGCTGGAACATATTCTTCTTAGCAAAGTATCTCAAGAATGGAAGAAAAAGTATCCAATGTATTCAGCCCTACTATGAAACTAATTTATAGCTTTCATATGAAAGCTATAATCCAATTGTAGCCCCTAGAATATGGGGAAAGGGGCAAGGGAGGGGAGGGGAGGAGTGAGGATGGGTAGAGGGAGGGTAATTGGTGGGACCACACCTAAGATGCATCTTACTAGGGTACATGTGAAACTTACTAAATGTAGAATATAAATGTCTTAACACAGTAACTAAGAAAATGCCATGAAGGCTATGTTTGATGAAAATATTTCAAATTGCATATAAAACCAGCACACTGTACTCCATGACTGCATTAATGTGCACAGCTATGATTTAATGAAAAAAGCGAAACAGGCTGGAGGAGGTGTCTCACACCTATAATCCTAGCACTCTGGGAGACCCAGACAGGTAGACTGCTTGAGTTCACCAGTTCAAGACCAGCCCAAGCAAAAGCGAGACTCTGTCTCTACTAAAAATAGAAAAAACTGGGTGGCACCTGTGACTCAAAGGAGTAGGGCGCTCGCCCCACATACCAGAGGTGGCATGTTTAGCCACCAGCCCTGGCCAAAAAAAACTACAAAAAGAAAAAAGAAAGGCTCGGCGCCTGTGGCTCAAGTGGCTAAGGTGCCAGTCATGTACACCCAAGGTGGCGGGTTCAAATCCAGCCCAGGCCCGCCAGACAACAATGATGGCTGCAACCAAAAAATAGCCAGGCATTGTGGTGGGCACCTATGGTCCCAGCTACTTGGGAGGCTGAGGCAGGAGACTCGCTTGAGTCCAGGAGGTGGAGCTTGCTGTGAGCTGTGATACCTCAGCACTCTACCCAGGAGGACAGCTTGAGACTCTGTCTAAAAAAAAGCAAAGCAAAACAAAGCATCAATACATATATATGGTAGATTATGCATCTGTGTTTTGAGTTGTACCATACAAAAAAGGATTACTAAATTTTTACTAATATGACAAAGCTTTATCACTTCATATTCAATTTTTTGTTTGCATGCTACCTTTTTTTTTTTTTTTTTTTGAGACAATCTCACTCTGTTGCCCTTGGTAGAATGCTGTGGCATCACAGCTCACAGCAACCTCAAACTCCTGGGCTTACAGGATTCTCTTGCCTCAGCCTCCCAAGTAGCTGGAACCACAGGTGCCCACCACAATGCCTGGGTATATTTTGGTTGCAGTTGTCATTCTTTAGCTGGTCCACCGTAACCACTGTGCTATAGGTGCTGAGCCACAAGTTACTTTTTTTCATAAATACAAATATAAAATATTGAAACTGAAACCAACTTGGGTAAATTATTTTGATTAGTAAGAAAACAAAGAATGTTGAGTAGTACATCATGTATCCTAATGATTGTTGGGATCACTGCATGGCTCAATTGGCACCGTTAATTTCTGAGTACACAGTATTCAAAGGGTTACTATTATCTCACCTCCTGCCCCCACCCAGAAAGATGCAGTACTGCTGTGTAAACAGATGGACCTCCCTGAGAATCTGAAAAGACAGGCCTTCTCTGAAAAGACTCAGCCCCATTCTATGAGGTACACAACTTGTTGCACAGAGTTTCCTGAACTTAAGCCCCACACCCATGCCCATATAGCTACCCTTCTTTAGCCCATGCCCATATAGCTACCCTTCTTTAGAGTACAATCTGTACTATATAATTAGCAGCCTACTAGATCCGGAAGTTCTTATCCTCCTTTACAAAAGGAACTTGAAGCTCACATAAGACATGGTGTGACTTAGGCAAGGTCGTATAGCCAGCAGGTGGCACTACTGGGATTATAATGTGCATCATCTTTTCAATCAGTGGGTTACCCAGAATTAACATCATAGTTTTGTATGGGATACACCTGGAGACTTTTGAGAATTCCCAGAATCAGCTTGGCGCCGGCTAGGGTGCTAACCATGCTCAATGGAGCTGGCAGGTTCAAACCCAGCCCAGGCCTGCCAAACAACAACAATAACAAAAAAATAGCCAGGCATTGTGGTGGGCACCTGTAGTCCCAGCTACTTGGGAGGCTGAGGCAAGAGACCCCCTTAAACCCAGGAGTTTGAGGTTGCTGAGAGCTGTGATGCCATGCACTCTACCAAGGGCAATATAATGAGACTGTGTCTCAAAAGAAAAAAAAAAGAAAATTCCCAGGATCAAAAATAGAGAAACGTCTTCATAGGTTTCTCCTAAATTTCTCTTTGATCAATTTTCATTGAGAGACTACTGTGTCCTATGCATATTTTCACTCCACAAGGGGACGCCCTTTCCAATAATCATTAAATTTGGCTCTCTTATACACTCAATGGTTACTTTTCTTTGCAGTTTTTTGTTTTGTTTTGTTTTTGGCCAGGACCAGGTTTGAACCCACCACCTCTGGTATATGGAGCCAGTGCCCTACTCCTTTGAGCCACAGGCACTGCTCCTCAATGGTTACTTTTCACACAAAAACAAAGGTGCTATTATTTCTTTGAAAATTTTTCCGTAACTCTCCTAAGTAACAATGATGGATGTGCATGCATGTAATTTAGTTCTCTGAATAGCTAAGTGGTTTCCAATATATATGCATACTGGTATGAGAGCTAGTAAAATATACTTCCAATTACACTGCCATGAACTACCGGATTGTTTGCAAATAATCAAAATTACAAATGT